GTCCACTCATGTCATTATTTTTCAGTGTCTGAATATGTGTGTGTGTTAGGGGAAGAAAAGAAAAGCTAAGTTCATATCTGGTATTTTAACTGATCAAAATAATCTGGAGGAATTCTGGGTAAGATGGATAAAATAGAGGGTTTGGCACCTACTAGGTGCATTGTCAATTGACTTACATCTACCTGCAGAGTTTTATAATGACCAATGATAATAAAGTTAGCCTCCCTCCCTCTCAAAATGTGCTAAATGATAATATTCCAAAGAAACAAAATTTCACAGTTTTTTCAATGACCTATCTCAGCCTCTGAAAAAATACACCACTCACATTACCCTTTGGCTTAAAAAGAAATTTATGAATCTCTCCTGAATCCTTGTTTTAATTGTTAATTAAGAAACAACCAGTGCTTCCTTTTCAAATAAACCCAGAGTCACATAATTAGACCATCCTGGAGATAATTGAATTTTTTGGAAATGAGAAATGGGAGAAAGAAATAAAATTTATAAAAATCAATAAAAAAATATAATTGGCCTTTGCCCTCTCTAATAACCCTGTGCCAGATCTTTATTTTAGCCAAGTTTTTGTTGTTGTTCACCTGTATTGAGCTCTTCTACCAGGAAGAAGGTTCTTTGGTAGGCTTTTAACACACAATGTCACATTTTACCTTCATAATATCCCTAATTGGATAGGTACAATTATTATCATCATGTTACATGGAAGTAAACTGAGGGATAGCAAATTAAGTAACTTTTTTCCAAATCACTCAACTAGCAGGTAGAACGTTGAGGAAGATCTCAGCCCAAGAATTTTCACTTCAGAATCCTGCTCCCCTCTGCTCTGTCAGGCACTTCCCACGTTATCACATAATGGTCATCTTTCCAGGAAACATACCGGAAAACCCTCATCTTTAACCAACACATTTTTATTATCATTCACTCACTAAATCTATTGTTCTAAACCTAAGAAGTGTTCTATCACTACGTAATTACTTTCAGATCCTAGAGACAATCAAGTGCTCCCTAGTCTTTAAAAATCTTTTTGTTAGAAACGTGTCATACATGTATTGCAAGGTGGCAATCATTGCCAAGTTATTTTTAAAATTTCTCTTTATTAAATCAATATTAGTATTGAAGAAATCACATATATGATATTTTCAATATCTATGCCTTATTTTCCTTAACGGTATATTTTGGTCTCTAAGCCATATTTTCAAAAATATCCTATTTCTTTATAATATAAACTTAAATGACTTTCAAAAAGTGCCTTTATGGGAAAATATATTTAACTTTTTAAACATTATTTAAATAGGGTTCAAAAAGGTGACCCCTAATTGCAATATTAACGTTGAGCTTTCTCTTTTAAAAACTTTTTTTTAAAAAAAGACTACCATATCTCTTTACTTCATTTTAATTATAGAACAACTAATGATATGTGACAGTTATTATTGTCCCATTTGTCAAATAAAAGTGCAGGAATCAATTGATTTTAAGTTATTTCCCTACAATCACACAGTAGCAGCTGAGTTAAGATGAGTCTCCATGTCTAATATCGAGATTCTAGCCTTTTCCATAGACCTACCTCAGACCCCACTCCTTGACTACTATATCCATTCATTCATTCATTCATCCACTCATTTTCTTCTTGATCAATTATTTGTTAAATGTTTGTGTTATGGACTAATGTTTGAATCTTCCCCAACCCCATGTGTTAAAGCCCTAACCCTCATTGTGACGGACTATATTAAGAAAGGGTCTTTAGGTGGTAATTAAGGATCAATGAGGTCATATTGATGGGGTCCTGATCTAAGAGGAGCCAGAGAGAAGTGGTTCTCTCTCTCTCTCTCTCTCTCTCTCTCTCTCTCTCTCTCTCTCTCTGTGTGTGTGTGTGTTTTTGTGTGCATGCAGTACTTAGGAATGGCCATATGAAGATAGCAAGGAGGCAACCATCTCTAAGCCAGAAAGAGAGTCTTCAGCAGAAACCAAATCATCTGGAACCTTGATCTTGGACTCCCCAAGCCTCCATAATTGTGAGAAAATAAAATTCTGTTGATTAAGCCACTCAGTCTATAGTATTTTGTTATAGCAACCTGAGCTGACTAATCCAGTCTAGTTATTTCAGATAATGTAGTTAGCATTGGATAGTACCACAGAGTGAACTCCATCAAGACATTACACTTAAAGAATAAAACTATGCAAGCTCTCAAAGATACTTCATTCTGTTAGGGAAGCTAGACAAATAATTTGGATGCTATACAATGCTTTAAGGTCTTTAGTATATGGGTTTATCTAATATTATGGTGGGACAACATTTAAGCATTACTAAATTGTGACTAGAAAAGTTAGGGATAGTGTTACAGAAGAAGAGAACTTGAAGACTAAGTAGAAACTTGCAAAGGATGGGAAGGAAAAGGAGGTTTCAACCAGGTGGGGAGACCAATGTGTGCAAAGAATGAAGGCTTGATATAATATGGGAACTATGAACCAGACATGCTTCGTATGGGAAAGAGTAGAGTCAAAGATGATCCATTTTTTTTCCTTGAATAACTGGACAGATGGTAATGCAGTTTATTATACAGGAAATATACAAGGGGGGTAACTTTGTAGGAAGAGCAAGGATAGTACTAGAGTGGAGATTGTCATGATTTGTTCAGTCCCAATAGACTGTATTCTTGTAGGGAAACATTTAGTACAGAATCTGACACACAGTAGGTCCTCAATAATTTTTTGCTGAATCTGGATTTCCTCTGTTCATGTTTATTTTTCCTGGCCTAAGTCCTTTATTTTTGAAATCGAAGGAGTGTCAAAAGAGAGGTTATACTAGTTAATCACAATTATCTGCCTAACCAAGTAGGAGGGAAATCAGCTACAGTTGAAGGCAAATATGACACAAGAACAAGGAAAAATGAGCATTCAGGAGTAGGGTGAGATGCCTTTATAAAAGTGCCCTTGGTAACCAGGATTGGATTTTGTATTAACTAGGGTAAAATTAAAAAAACAAAAAAACAAAAACCCTAAAGTCAAGAATTCAACTGCTTCCTCCATGGATAACAAGTTTGCCAAAAAGCATTTTGTTCATAATACAACTAGAGTAGAAAATCCACATTCTCAAAAGTGACAGTAACCATTAAAATGGTGAAGAAAACCACTGAATTGACAACTGAATTCCTGAGGAAGAGGGAGGCAATGGGTGACCTTAGCCAACGAGTCATAAACTACTTTTAGAGGTATCTTGAATTCCAAACAATAAAACATTACTCAGTTTTGATGTAAGGAAAAGAATCATTCCACATTTCTAGAGGTAGATATTTGCCCATATATATATTGAAGACACTTTACTCCAATGAGAAAAAATTATAATTATTTTTAAATTTCCTCTAGATGAAGAATTTCCTCCAAGTTCACCCTCTATCCCATAGGTATCTTGTCTAACGAGGCACAGCCCTGCATTTACCAACCCTGTAATTGCAAAATAATTTCACTATTAAGCTTTGTTTTACTCCAAGCCTTCTGGATAATCTCGAGCAGGACTGCACTTGTTGTTTAACTCTAAAGATTTGTAATGAAAGTTTAATCAGTTACTTATTATTAGAATGTTTATAGACATTATTTTAAGGAGAACAATAATGACGTAAAGTTCTACGCATTTGGTTTAAAATGTATTCAACTCACATATCAGTTAATGCTACAGTGAGTTTTTAAAAAAACTCTTATCAATATACGTGTCTAAAGGCAATGTAGCTAAACTACAACTTTACCAGAGCTGCAGCTAAGGACAGAACTAAGAAAGGATTTCTGCCTTGTCCTCCTACCAAATCCAGATCTTAACTTTTGGCACTTCGGAATTTGAACAGAAATGGTAATTTCAGCATTTTGAACAGGTATCACAAGGGGATATACATAAAGCAAAAGGACAACTATTTAAAATTAAGTCCTGGCATATTTATTTCCATTTAAAAAGCTGACCAGATCATCTACTAATGATCATGAATTTAAAAGAACACACCAAATAAATCTAGTTCATCCACTTTCTGTCTCACTGAAATACTGTAAAACCAAAGGTTAATCACACCTCCAAAAAAACACTTCCTTGCTAATACAGAAATTGCCTACAAGTTTTCCAGATATTCAGATTTTCCAGAAATTATGATACTATGAATTAACCACAAAAGTTTTCAAGTTATAAAAATAAACGGGAAGTATATATTCAGTATATATCTGCTGAATATGTAGAAAATTATAAACTCAGAAGAATAACATAGTTAGTTACCTGTCCTATAGAAATATAATTTACTTAGCTTTCATAATCAGACTATAACTGCTCATTGTTAGATATTGTCAGATGGGTTCTGTGAAAAGTACAACTGAAACTAGGGACTGATTTTCATATTGTTTTTTATTATCCTTTTTATTCATGAATCATTTATTAAATCCATTTGAATATAAAGAATCATCACAGAATGCAAAGCACTCACATTCTAGAAGCATGTAGAATCAAAGCAGGGTTATCAGGAGAGGCAAAATATATTAAAAGAACACAGAGCAAAATTAACCTATAAAACCAAATCAATTCAGCCAAAATATGGAGAAAACAAATGTTTCTCCAATCTTCCAAGCATCCCCTAAAGAAAATATGATAAACATGTCATATGGCCCAGCCAGCGTGGCTCAGTGTTTGAGCATCGACCTGTGAACCAGGAGGTCATGGTTGGATTCCTGGTCAGGAGACAGCCAATCAATGATTCTCTCTCAACATTGATGTTCCTATCTCTCTCTTTCTCTCCCTTCTTCTCTGAAATCAAAACAAATATTAAAAAAACACACCATATGATGACGTTCATTTTCTTATGCCACATACTATCTGAATGGCCATATAATGTTTCCAAATATTAATTATGGAAACGATATTTGGGATGTTTTCCATTGGTACTATTCTTTGCCCATTCATTAGTTGAGTTCCTTTCTATCATACTCTATATACCTTTAAAACAACTCTTTTGTTTCTATCAAGAAGCGACACTGTAAGGGAGGTTCACTTTAAAGATCTATTTGAAGAACTTTTGCAACAAATGGAATTTGCTTATGTTATGTTACATTTTAAAAAAGTAATCTCTTCTTCACACAGCTGAATGTGTATACATGTGATAACAAAATATATTCTTACCTCCCATCCATAACTGGGGTCTTTCAGGTTGGACCTCTGCTCTCCCACATAAGGCCCAAACTTTTCACCTGCTTCAATCTTCCTTTTGGTCCATATTCCTAGTCCCGCTCCAGGCATAGTTGACTCTCGAAGTTCAAACTCAGCAGGAATGGGAATGTCATCTGGGATGTATATGGGGGCCTTGTAAGGAGAGCCCTCCTTCGGCGTGAACGCTTCGCTGGACGTAGCTGGAGAGCATGGCTCTTGAAGATTGAGGGAGGGCGTGCTGGCTACGCCATCTGCATCTGGCATTTCTTCCAAAGGAATGTCAGGGTAACTGCCATAGACACACTCATTACCTGTGAACAAATAATAATTTCATGAATTCCTGCTAAGTTAGAAGAAGAAAAAATCCCACAGCTAGGTTGTTCTTCTTTGAAAATAAAACAGGGAAGGATCATTGTTAAAATAGGCCCGCATTAAAATCTGTTATTCACAGATGGGGGAGGGGGGTTATTGTTTCTTTGGTTCATCTGCAGTGAATCCATAAATCAAATGAATTACTATTCAACTGTCAATAATATTCTCATGGGCCAATTCAATCCATGATCCATCTGGGAAACAATTAGCAATTTAATTATTGGTATGAATAAAGTAGAGATAAGAAATAAAACTGCGTGTACCTACCACCCTGCAAACCATCCCAGATTGGGAGCTGATAGCATTTAACAATGTATTAGGAAATTGTATCATGCAGTAGTATCTTGGGCTAAATTGTAGGAGAATCGTCAAAGATTCCAAAGGCCGCCATGTGCAACAAGGCTTGACTTTGTGGCAGGATTATTTATTGGAATATTAATTTATGTTTGTTCTTTCTCTACTTTTCCTTTCCCATTTCAAACATACTGCCAAGCCCTTGGTATTTTCTTGCCCCAGTAACTTCCACAGAGAAGATGATTAAAGTTACTTGAAGCTAGTGATTCCTCTGGGTATTGGTAAAAGTAAAAATCATTAAGGAAATTAGGTGAGCTTTCTAGAGGGGAAATGGGGAAGAAGGTGTCTTGGGTGCACCAAAAAGAGAGCATTTCCTGCAGACTGAGAAAGAGAAGAAATCGGAGGGTCTCTAAATGGAGCAGTCCCCTGGGGCAGATGCCAAGGCCATGGAGGGTACAGCAGGGTAAAGTAGCTAGGAGTCTGGACACTCGGCACCAGGGCTCTAAGGTCTCCCCAAAGCAGCACCTCCCCCACACCTGAAGGAAAGGAATACACCATGTCAGACCTTAAGATCTTTATGCAACTTCTTGAGGATAAAGGGAAATTATAAAGAATAATGACTAAGCTTGAATTTCCCACCAGTTTACCAGTTGAAGGGGATTTCAGCTACTTTTAAAGCAAATAAACATAGGGTTCTTGTCCACTCGGACTATGGACTAAGAATTATATGTGATTGATTTGATGTGTAGGCCTTACCAGGGAGAAGTAAGAAAAATGGGTAAAATTACAAGAAGGAATATTTCAATCAGAGCCACCCAAAGGTAAAATGAGTTGCCCTACGTTGCCATTACAGGGGTTCTAATATAGCCTAGAACCAGAGCTACAAACGGTATGGAGGAATTCTAGTCTCAGGTTGGTGACTAGAGTAAATGACTTAAGATTCTACCAAACCTGCAGTTCTATGAATTACTTAAGTCTTCCAAGATAATTTATTGGGCTAGAGGGTGGAAAACCTGAGTTCTGGCCCCAATTCTTTCTCTGATTCTTTATGGAAGTTAAGTAACTATAACAAAATAACAGTTGCCATCAAGTACTGCATCCTCTTAAAGCTTTCTAAAATGAAAATGATAGCACATGCAAAAGTATCTTTTGAAGGAAGTGCTTGGTTCTTGATTGAAACAATGAGATAATTCCATCTAAACCAAGCATAGAACTGAATTCCTATGAGACGTTTGTTCCCAAAATACAAGCTCATTATCATTCGGGTTCCGTATATCCAAAATCATGCACATTATCCTCTGCCCTCAATCAAGTCTCCTGCCCACTTCCATTAGGAATACTATTTCCCCCTAATTATCCATGCTCAGTATCCTAAAATAACATGGACATTTTCTCTCCTTCACCCTCCAAGCTATTCAGTCATTAAAGGCTGTCTATTCTTCTTACATGATTTTCACCTTCATCCCATCTTTTCAATCCACATTTTCATTCCTGAATTTCTGACAGTTCTCTAACTGGGTCTCAGACCTCCAGGCTTTTTCCAGTATCCCTCGGCTCTGGGCCTGTACAATGCTGCTGGACTTAGGAATCTTCCTGGCACACATATTTCCCTGTGGTATAGCCTCCAATCATTCCCAGTGCCCACAGGTAAAAATCTAAAGTTCTTAAACTTAGAATAAAATCTCTCTCATTTTAAAACCATTGTCCCTTTCGCTCAATAAGAGGCCCCAGGCGAGATAAGCTTAACCCCATTTTCCAAGCTCAGTGAATACTTTCTCTGGTTCTGCCTGCCCAGTTACCTATTTCTGCTCTCCTCTGCCCATCCAGCTTCTAGTCAGCCTCCCAGATCAAGTCCTAACTTGTCCCCTCACCATATCATTTAACACAACTTCCTTGAGTTGTTACACAATGTCTCTGCTTGGCCTGATAATCCCATAATGCTGTGCATTGCTACTTGGAGTTTAATGTGAATGATTCTCGGATTCCCAGCTATGAAACAAGGCCTTGCATGGAAGACCCAGAGCTCACACTTCTCCAAGAGTCAGAATTCCCCTGGTGAGCTGCATAAAGGTGCTTAGTAGATACTTATTAAATAGATAACTAACCTAACCATTTTATTAAACTATTAAACCAAATCAATATTTTTCTATCAAATATAGGAAACGATTTTGATCCTGAAAAGCACCTTTAATCCCATAGAAATGGGCCACAACAGATTACAAACTTTTCTCCAAACACAACTTCAAAAGAAACAATTCTAACAATGCCCCAAAGATACATTATCAAAGAAATACACTTCAGGGTCCAAACACCCTTGGTACACCCTTGATAAAGTCTATCTTATTTTGTCCTTCAGGGAGCATTTGCACTTCAGCTGAAGAGCCAAAAGTTCACTAGCACTCTTGATACAACTAAAAACATATAAAAGTATCTCTTTAGAATTGTAACATTTAACGACTACAAATGTGGAGTTACTTTATAGATTCTTAAAGGGATTTGTCACCCATTGTGAACATTTTGTTTCTCTCTGTAAATGAGTGCTATAAATTGGAAGCCACTTTGTAATCTGTAGACTTGTCCATTTAAGCAGCAGGAAACAAAAAGGCATCCAAATGAATAGAACTATTTCCTCTAGTAATTATCTATTCAAGGTCAGTAAAAATTCCCCTAGTTCCTCAAAGGGTTAAATCAGTCATACCATCAGTTCCAGCAAAGTGATCCCAAATCTTAAAAAAGGATAGAGACAAACCCATCTGGGCCCTCCCACTGGCATAGCTGATCCATGACCTTTGAATTACCCATAAACTCTCCCAAAGCATAATTTAAATGAATGCATTTGGATTTCAATTCCTGTGGAGACAAAATACTTGTATGCCCAGGTTACTGCACAGAAGAATTTGAATTTAAAGCCTGAATGCAGTTCTGCTTACAACGGCAAAAATTTCCAATTAAACCTAAAGAACAACTTATATAGGTCCAGAAAATCCAGGAGACAGACTCAGGCTCCTATTCATCCACATGTGGCATTAAATGTATATGCAAACTCAGGCGATTTGCTTTCAAACCACCTTTAATATAGTGTCATCAGAATTAAATAAAAAGAATAAAAAAGAATTAAATATAAAAAGGGCTGTGGTGACAAAAAAAAGAAATATAAACCTGCTGAGTTTTATGTATCAAAACAGGAAACAATATTTTAATGTAATCTAGCATTATGAAATTTTCAACAGCAAATGCAGTTTCTCACACTGTGTTGGATATTTGCATAAACCAAAATAAACTCATGCATTCATGTATGTTACTCAAGAACTACCCCAAAAGCTGGTAAAACATTTCATCTAAATGATAAACTACCTCAATTATCATATCTCCATTAAATCTGTGTTATTGGAGAAAAAATGGTAGTTCCTCTCCCTGAGCTATAGCTACAGTTAATTAAAGCATTGCTCAAATATCACACTGACAGATTGGGCACATTTACAATAGGTAAGTATCAGGTAATAAATGTTATATACATCAGTGGTCCATAAAGATAAATAACCCTTGTAACTTCTTGAAGCTGAGCTGCCTGCTACTGGAATTTGTTTCATGCATCCTTTAGGTGTCATTAACTGAGTGAGGACAGAAAGACAATTTTATTGTTGGATTTGAGGCAAATGACTTGAGAAAAGAGCTTGGAAATCAACCTCTTCAATTCAAATTTTAAATGTTCTAATATCCCCAGAGCCCCAACAAGAGCACACACTTGGATTAGATTATATGTCTTTCTATGACTCTTGGACTAACATAGGTTCCCACTTGAGGTGACTTCCATTTTGAAAACAAAATCAGAATCTCCAAAGAGGAAATTTCAGAAATAATATAGATAATAACTGCTTTTATAACTGTATCTATATTTTCTCATTTAAATTTATTGATTTCAGAGAGAGAGGGAGAGAGAGAGAGAGAGAGACATCAATGATGAGAGAGAATCATTGATCAGCTGCCTCCAGCACACTCCACACTGGGGATGGAGCCCACAACCTGGACATGTGCCCTGACTGGGAATCAAACCGTGGCCTCCTGGTTCATAGGTCAACACTCAACCACTGAGTCATGTTTTATTTTCTCATTTTGACACTCACAACCCAGTGAGAAAACATGGTGAGAAGCATAACCTTCCATCTTGCGAATCTGGAAGCTAACACTCAGGGATGCTAAACAGTATAGCCAAAGTCAACAGAGTCTAGCCTCAGGTGTCCAAACCCAGTCCTCCCTTTTACACTTAGGCAGCCTTTTAAAAAATATATTATTTAAAGTTGGTTTATTTGTTTGTTTTCCAAATTGTGACCATGTTACATGAATACTTTGTTTTTCTGTTTCTTCACTTGATATGTTATTATGAACACTTCCTTATGTTTCAAAAAATATTTTCAAAACTAAATTTAATTACTGCATAATATTCCATTATATGAATCCACAATAACGGAACTATTTCCATAGCATTTATTTTTGTTGCTTCTAATTTTCTGATAATTATAAATACCACTGAAAGAAACATTCTTTCATATAAATATTTGTATTTATCCATTTTAATTTCCTTAGGTTAGATTCCTATAAGAAAGCTCACTGAATATTAACAGATTGCTTTTGGGGGGTGTATACC